TTTGTTTATAAACCTTTCCATGTTGATAAACTGTAACCATGCGTATGAATTATGAAACCGCACGATAAAAAACATATCGTCGATCGTTATTTTTGTCAACAAGAAATGCGGCCGCTTTTCTTTTGTGGATGGCCGCTCAATTTCCCGATCCGGGATGAAGTATTTTATCATATTCCATACCACCTGGGGACCCCAGTCTTTGCGGTTTATAAGCATGCAGATATGGCGGAGAGACAGGCCGAGCGCCGCCCAGTTGATATAATTCTATATTGAATTTGAAAATCGTGTATATTTCTATTTTCTATGTAACCATATGTTTATTGTTTATGCAACCTGACACGGATCTTTGCAAAATAGTAATACTAACTCAAAATAATAATACAATGCTATCAATTTGTCCCTAGCGGGATGCGTACATGGTGAAATTAACAATGTACTTGAACATTTCAGCACCGCGCGCCAACAATTGTTTAATTCAGATGATCGCGCAAAATAACTTTGCGCAGGCAGACACGTGGGCGATAACTAGACTGCCGACATGGGGGCGAGGGCACGTAACGTACGCACGCACGCACGCACGCACGGTCGCAAGCTACCATATACAAAAAAAACCTCGATCGCTAACCCTTGTCCTTGACTCTTTTGTGCCTTCGGCACTTTGAGTCATGGATCGGGAAAAAATTCCCAACTTATTAAACGTCAACCTCAAGAATTAAACCGCACGATAACTTGTAGCAGAGTGTTTTAAAACCCATATCATGAGCAGCAGCACACCCCCCTTATTTAGGATATATCATTTCAACATCTTTTAAACAACCACACTACCTGTATTGTACTCAATATTTGTGTTCTCAGCGTGTTTAGAAAACTTAAAAAAGAGCTCTGAAATTTAATAATTCCTTGCAAGTTGAACCGTGCCGTTTGTAGACGTGGGGATTGTTTAAAACTTCGGTGTGAGCTCAAGTCTTAGACGAGATGAGGTCATGTGTGCAAGCGGAAGTTGAGTTTCATGTAAAGAGGAGTTGTTCAAGTATTAAAAACGCGTGATTTTTAGTCAAGTATGTTAAATATTTACGGAAATATAATGTCGTAATGTGTAATAGTCCGAGACGAAAGGGAAACACGTTAGCTTTTTGTGTTAAAAGCGATTTCTCGACGGTTATCACCTCTCTAGATGATGCTTAAAACATTTTGACTCTATTGCATTCTTGTACTAAATGCAATGATCTACTTTATTGGGCATCTCTCTATGGGCCTGGCCAGCAGCATATTTGTGTCTTACGAGAGGGCAATTTTTCAAAATTACAGTTTCTTTATTAAAGGTCAAAGTAAATGTCAAAGGGTCAGCTGCTAACAGCAAATTGTTCGCAATTGCCGACTCATACACACATATACTCAAAAACGTTCAGTTTAGGAGTGATTAGTAAATATGTTTTTAACTACTGCATGATTTGTGAAAACTCCAACAATTTTTCATTGGCACCAATTTAGCCAAAATGTAATGAACAAAATTCAACTTTTAAATTATTCATTCCATGAAACTATGACAATATGTACTAAGAATACCGGACCTAAAATAATTCGGCACTGGATCCGGGCCAGATTGTTGCTTGACCGCTGTTGCTTTCAGACAATCTTGACCAGATTGTTGCTTGACCCCACGTTATAATTATAATTGACTTCGCTGCCTCGACCAATATTGGTCTGTAATCCCTGAATTGAGATCTGTTGGCCGGAGTTAAATTTAGCTCATAAACCATTATATTAACCATTATATTAGTAATACCGCAAAAAGAATATGGGGTCATTCTGAACCACTGCGGTATTATAGGAAATTAGCTTTTGGTGTATGGGAAATTACATTTTGGTGTATGGGAATAGTCTCTCTACGACGTTTCTGGGCTGAAAGTGAAATACAAAAATTCGAGTGACTGCGAAACCCTGTGACCGAAAACACCCGTATGGCATTTAGTCCAAAAATGCAATAGAGTCAAAATGTTTTAAATATTATAATCATATAGAGAGGTGATAACCGTCGAGAAATCGCTTTTAACACGAAAAGCTAACGAGATGGCCCTTTAGAACGGTTGGTATCCGACTTTAAGACGTCATCTTTCCGAAAGTATTTGAGACAAATTAGCAAAAATTAGAAAAATTAGCAAGCTGGACCATCTCTTCTTGATTGTTGTAAGATAACAATCATGAAATCACAGTTCACATCATGCCATGTCAAGTATTGTATTGAGGTTTTGACTCTCCGTCCACAAGAAGCTTCACAATAATAGGGATTTCTTGTCAGAGACTAGTAACTGGCTCTCTGGCGCCCTGGCCTTGGTGTACATTTATTAATTCTCATATTATTCAACTTATTAATTTCAGATTAATTTCAACTTACGCTGCTAGGGGTAGTTAAAATTGGGGCCGCGGTTTCTTATCAATACAGCTCTAATGTTTCTCGGTTTCTCTCGATATTTCTCGTCCCCATACGGTCATCTTATGTTTTAAAATGTACAGCGTTCATTTTCTTATCTCCTTTCACACTTGAGTAATCCAAATCAATTAAGATAAAAATTAAATACCTAATTTTAAGTAGGCATGATTTCAACAACCATCATACTCCCAATCCTCCATTTTAACAAGAATTTCGCCGCGGTAACACCACGCACGATCAAATTTCCCTACTGCCTACAATGTAATTGTTATACTTTATTGTTATCCCAGAGTTGTGTTTTGCGCACGTGATAATCGTGTATATTATATTAGGCGTGCAGAACTTGAAAAATTCTGCGCGCATCTGAGGTGTCGCCGTCGATCTGTATGTGGTTTGGTTGTAGATCATTTCATATTTTGCGCAATTTTGTTACGTGTTAACGATGCGTATCATCAATCATGTCACGTCATATTATTGCATCGTATGCCAACTTTAATGACTGTTATAAAATAGTCTGTATCATCTTAATTATTATCTAACATAAACTAATACATTTTGATGCTTACTCGAATACTCGACACATCTACAGCACCATCGATTATCGAGCCTTTGATTTGATATAGGATTCTTTAAAAGCATACCACAATCTTGATCTTAGTTGCTTCTTGAATATAAATGTAAAGTAACATCTTTTCTCAACTATATGTTTTCGCTTTTTACCATTAAGTGTCAATCAACTGTTAAATAATCAGCCACGAGTTTATTAGCTGATATCATAATTTAATTTGTTTTGACTTGCTGAATATTATCACTCGGTAATATATTAAGCTTGTTTCACCAAAATAACACTTATGTTGATGATTGATCCGCTCAGATGACTAATATGCTATATTAATGAATTAGAGTGAATTGTAACCCGATGGAAACCTGTGTAACAGTCGTCAAGCACCAAAATTTTGTTGCTATGGCTGTAATTAATTAACACATAACTGGCGTCGCGCGCGCAAAATAGACTCCTTTTATACACATAATTATAGGGGAGTGGTCTATATTGCGAAGGAGCAGACTTTTGTCATCATCGTAGGACCGTCGGGCCACCTCATATATCCAAACCCGATTACTTATTCCCTACGATCTTTTTGCCTTCGGCAAGAGCAGGGAAAAAAATTACAATTTGATAAATTCTCATTTTACAATCTACAGTCTCACTGACGGTGAATATAATATAAACTAACATACCACCACAATACCACACTCACACGCCATTATATCCACAATATTTGTTTGTTTGTTTGTTTATAGAACCCGTCCCAATCTCGTATCGGAAACTGACGAAACTCAATTTTGAGTGTGATACGGGTGATGAATACGGGTGGTACCTGCAAGTGTATCCACAATATAGGACCCTATTGACTGATTAACAGTAAAGCATATATTTTAGATAGGCTCTCTTTCACACGTAGACGTTTGAATTGCATACCCTACAAAATTCTGTCTAAACAAGGATTAATCATAAAAATATGGTCAGATTGAGAGCTTGTATGTGATGACTACAATTAGGAGCTTGTATGTGGTGACTCTAATTAGGAGCTTGTATGCGACGACTCTAATTAGGAGTTTGTATGCGATGACTCTAATTAGGAGCTTGTATGCGATGACTCTAATTAGGAGCTTGTATGTGATAACTCTAATTAGGAGCTTGTATGTGATAACTCTAATTAGGAGCTTGTATGTGATGACTACAATTAGGAGCTTGTATGTGATGACTCTAATTAGGAGCTTGTATGTGATGACTCTAATTAGGAGCTTGTATGTGATGACTCTAATTAGGAGTTTGTATGCGATGACTCTAATTAGGAGTTTGTATGCGATGACTCTAATTAGGAGCTTGTATGCGATGACTCTAATTAGGAGCTTGTATGTGATAACTCTAATTAGGAGCTTGTATGTGATAACTCTAATTAGGAGCTGATTGTAAACCGAGACGGTGCCTGGGTGGTTCTAATGACCACTTTTAATCTTAACAAATATATTATAAAAATAGTAATAATCCCTCACAAGCTTGTATGTGATGACTCTAATTAGGAGTTTGTATGTGATGACTCTAATTAGGAGCTTGTATGTGACGACTCTAATTAGGAGCTTGTATGTGACGACTCTAATTAGGAGCTTGTATGTGATAACTCTAATTAGGAGCTTGTATGTGATAACTCTAATTAGGAGCTTGTATGTGATGACTCTAATTAGGAGCTTGTATGTGATGACTCTAATTAGGAGCTTGTATGTGATGACTCTAATTAGGAGCTTGTATGTGATAACTCTAATTAGGAGCTTGTATGTGATAACTCTAATTAGGAGCTTGTATGTGATAACTCTAATTAGGAGCTTGTATGTGATGACTCTAATTAGGAGCTTGTATGTGATGACTCTAATTAGGAGCTTGTATGTGACGACTCTAATTAGGAGCTTGTATGTGATAACTCTAATTAGGAGCTTGTATGTGATGACTCTAATTAGGTGCTTGAATGTGATGACTCTAATTAGGTGCTCTAATTAATACATATTTCAGGTCGAATGTCGGTGGATGTGATCCCCAAAAGCAGTAACCCTCTACAAGGGACCACTAAAGAGATCCAATGCAGTGCGGGCATGATAGACTCTAAATACTCGTGGCTCCGAAACGGCCAGGAAATAGGAGATATCAATGATAGGTAAGAAATTGTACATTTTACATTGAAACTCGATTAGAAGTCAGTCTTGTAAACTGATGTATGATTTGAACGTGGAGATGATTTGGGGCCCTTGAAAAAATTCTCTTTAAAAAACATGGCACCGTAAAATCTGTTTTAAAAACAGATCTGCCATTTACATTTTATGCTATTTTTAGAAAGCTAAAAGCGTGCTTTCTTGCTTTTATCGTACCGAATCTAGAAGATGGAACTGAAGCCAAACGTCCATTATATGACTTCGTGTATAATTAGAGCTATTACAGCAGATAAAATTGATCCCAGAAATGTAGTGAAGCACTGTATAATATATCTAATATTATTCCGGTATATATCCGGATTAATAGTATAGATCTGGGAAGGTATCTCGATCTGGGAAGGTATCTCGATATTAACAAGCATTATACTTGAAGTCAAATTAAAATATTAAGTCAAATTAAAACCCGGTTTAAATTGTATCATTTAACGAAGTTCCATATTATTATAAAGGGTTCTAGGGAGAGTTGCTAGCCTGGTGAGTTTACGGGTGACTGCTTCTTTGGTAGTGTGTGAACAATCTTTATTTTGAGAAATGTCTTGGAAGATTTTTAAAATAAAACTTGTATTTTTGATTTAAGAGTATGCCATGCTTGATCTTTGCATTATTGTTTTTGATTTTTGTCCAGATTTGCGAAGAATGGCGTGAACATCTTGTTTTTAAAGCTAAAGCTATTGTTTTATATTCTTAAAAAATTCTTACTTAGATGAATATTATATATTTATTATGTAGATCGTATATTCTTGATAGACAATCAGAAACGCAGAATATAAAAGATTTCATATCTTCTACTCCCAAATACAAGGGTTCTTTTCATCTGCATTATTTCCAAATTAAAAAAGGTTTCAAATCTAATTCAGTTAGCTTTGCAACCTGGACCCAGTCGCAGTTGACAAGCAGTAAGCACAGCTGTACATGCTGATGGTGACCTCAGTGTAATTTGTTTTCAAATTTTGACATGTATACTCCAAAATACATGATAATTCTTCACTTTGACATGTTCCTGTGTAATCATGTGTTTACTGTTTGTACACACGGATAGGTAAAATTCAGTTCAAATTATGCTATTTTTCATAAATAAGTAAGTGATGAGTGAATAAGTAGATTATAAAAATTATTATTATTAATTATTATTATTAATATATTATTATATAAACCCTTTAACTTTATAAATTCTAAAATCTATGAGATATGAATCATGCCATCAAAGGCAGCTGCAAATGAGAAAATAATACACCTGGCTATCCTATCTTCCAATCAAAGTAACCCATCGTGTAAAGTTCAGTGTATCTTACACATTATTTCATGGAAACCTGTACAAGATGTGTCAGAGTAGTGTATTTATAAAAACAGTTAATGACAGCTCTCTCTCTCTCTCTCTCTCTCTCTCTCTCTCTCTCTCTCTCTCTCTCTCTCTCTCTCTCTCTCTCTCTCTCTCTCTCTCTCTCTCTCTCTCTCTCTCTCTCTCTCTCTCTCTCTCTCTCTCTCTCTCTCTCTCTCTCTCTCTCTCTCTCTCTCTCTCTCTCTCTCTCTCTCTCCTCTCTCTCTCTCTCTCTCTCTCTCTCTCTCTCTCTCTCTCTCTCTCTCTCTCTCTCTCTCTCTCTCTCTCTCTCTCTCTCTCTCTCTCTCTCTCTCTCTCTCTCTCTCTCTCTCTCCTCTCTCTCTCTCTCTCTCTCTCTCTCTCTCTCTCTCTCTCTCTCTCTCTCTCTCTCTCTCTCTCTCTCTCTCTCTCTCTCTCTCTCTCTCTCTCTCTCTCTCTCTCTCTCTCTCTCTCTCTCTCTCTCTCTCTCTCTCTCTCTCTCTCTCTCTCTCTCTCTCTCTCTCTCTCTCTCTCTCTCTCTCTCTCTCTCTCTCTCTCTCTCTCTCTCTCTCTCTCTCTCTCTCTCTCTCTCTCTCTCTCTCTCTCTCTCTCTCTCTCTCTCTCTCTCTCTCTCTCTCTCTCTCTCTCTCTCTCTCTCTCTCTCTCTCTCTCTCTCTCTCTCTCTCTCTCTCTAGGCCGTTTTGAGAAGGAAACTGTATAACAGTGCTAATAACTGTCATTAAAATACATTTCAACAGTTTTCAACATTTTCAACGGTGTTTAGTCGAATGGTGGGCGGGTTGCACTTTCTCACGAGAATAAATCTAGTTTTTAAAAAACACACACACGCTTTTTTCGCACCGCTTAGTAACTGTATTATGATATATTTATCTGTTAAATCATCGTTTAAGAAATAAGGGGTGTTACTTTTCCACTTTATAAAGTTATAATAGCAACGAGGAGGACTGTCTGTTTGTGATAATATGTATTAACTGTTTGTGATAATAATATTAACGCAGAGTTTAAAAAACTGTGCGAAAAACGGCCTTCGAAGCAACAACCCTTGATGTGTTACTCCTTGCTCCTTACGATGTCTAATACTGACAATGCTGTCCACATTATTATTTGACGGCGGAGTAGAACCATAAATATCTAAATATGTAGGGTTCTGCTCAAATTGTCTCTTATTTTAATTTACAATACGGCAAACCCGGTATCATATTATCTAATACTAGCAATTAATGTACTGTAATTACTCCCGATTGTAAGAACAAGTTTCGGATTGTTCGTTTATTATGTAAGTGTTGGTACATATTGGTTGGTGACATAGTTAACGTAGAACAATATGCCTAACAATATGTCTAACAATATGTCTTTACAGTATGTTATGTCGAGACAAAGAACTATTTACTTTCTAACAATAACAAATAGTACAGAGCTCTGAGCTCTGCTTGTCTTTGGTACATGTTACTAAACAAGTTTTCCACCGTCATGGCCATGTTTTGTGCTGGCCATGTTTTGTTCTTTCTAACCATCTTATTGTTTTCAGGTATTCGATGTTTACGCAAGCAGATAAAAGCACGCTTACAATTCAAAATATTGCTATGAGAGATGAAGGTATGCGAAAAATTCAGCAAAGAATGTAAAATATATAAAGTTTTGGTATCAAATTTAAGGAATAAGGATTTTGAGAGGGCTGAAGATCGCTGATCATTATAGGGTGATTAGTATCGGAGCACTCGATAAAATGCTCGCAGTACTCTCAGTTATTTGAAATATTTTAAACTGTTTCCGTATTATAATTTAGCTATTTAATTGGTGGCTTGATTGATGCAAATGGCCGAGAAAAGTAGTATCTGGTGAACGATTAGCCACTAGTGATCTGTCCTGTGTAATCGAGGCTGAGTTTGATGAGGTTTCGACTTACAATCCGAAAACAAGTCTCAAAACTTTCTTCAAAAAAAGTAAATGGCTTCTTTTCTTACATCGCACCAAGAAACAATACTCCGTGGCTGTCTCTAAAAAATCCAAATTCTTGACATGCTATACATACCACAGGAACGTACGAGTGTAGAGCATGGAACACGAACTCTGCTGGAAACAACACCGCGACAGTCATCGTACAGGACGCCGGTGTGTACAAATCTTCATTACACACCTTCTCACACATATTACATCATGTTACCATGTTAGAGCTACTGCAGTTCCCGTTAAAATGCCATTCTCGGCCACCAATCATTCTTTGCTTTGTAATATGTATGGGATATATTTTGGCGCCTGAGCATATCCCGCGGGAAAACTTTGCGATATAAGCGTTTTATGAGGAGTTCTCACAATCACTCCGTTATAGAAAAGAAGAGTTTCCACGGTCTTTATCGGAACTTGTTTTCATTGCAAATGAGGCGAGAGAGATAAAGCTCAGTGCTCAGACTTCTGGCGGCCGTTATCGGATTTTTAATATTTATTCAAGAATATAATGACATGTGCTATATGAGCGTACTGCTTGGTTACGCAGGAGGAAATGTAGATTGTTGGTGTTGTTGCGACTTCCCGCTGAATATATGCATGTAATCTTGTATTGAAGCTGCTCCATTGACTTTGTTTGTGTGCAAAGTTTGCCCCTGAAGTTTTAATGAAACAATGAGGTTTTTAACGTAGCGCGCGGTGACAATATTAGAATTTAAGTGACTCACACGTTTCGCGCGCACAGTTCACGCGCGTCCCTCTAACGTTAAATGTGCAAATGATCGACATCAATTGGGTAAGGTCACTACTTTGTTTTGCCTTAAAGGATTGTGTCATCACCATAAAAAGAATAAAAGACAATGACTCAATGTAGTTTAATGTTACTTGGAATATCGCCATATCGGAACAATAATTATACGAGCCTGCATGGCATGACAAATCCCATAACAAAGGGGAACAAAGACCCACACAAACCCCCCCCCCCACAACCCCCCCCCCCCCCAATTAAACCCCCCCACAAAACCCCCACAAACCCCCCCCCCCCACAAACACAGCTAATTTAACTATTTTTGCTGTTTCAGGAAACATTCCACTGGTGGACATCTCCCCCGTTAACTCGACCCTGTTTATGCAGGACTCCTTTGATGTTAAGTTCCGATGTTCCGTCCCTGATGATCCTCGGGCTCAGTTTCTGTTCTGGACCAAAGATGGCAAACAGATATACAGCGATCGTGGTGAGGAGATCTTAACAGAGCCTTTAATTTACATCAGTTATTGCACTTAACACCAGAATAATATTTAATCGCGTAACGTCCTTGAAATTATAACTATTACATGCGAAATAGCACCAATGTGCTACAAATTACAGATCAGGATATTAATGACTATTTCAGCTCGGACAAGGCTTTCGAAAGCACCATTTTAAGACTGACTAGACAGGCTCTTTATGTGGGAATATTTTTCTTTGAGCATCTAATAATGGGCGTAATCCATCAGATTCACGCCGCGAGTATGAACCGTCACGATCCAAGCTCAACATCTACAACATAAGAGTAGAAGATACGGGCAAGTACACATGTGTAGCCACGCTGCACAATGGTATCAGGGTCGAGGGATCTACATTCCTCACTGTGAAACGTGAGTTTAAATGAAGTTGCTAGTTTTACCTGTCTAAAGTTGTGCCGATATATAAAGTGAGAAGCACTTTATTTTATTTCATCTAATATTTTCTGCTGGCAATATATTTACGTAATATTATATTAATGGTATATTTCACAGCGGCAATAACAGTTGTCTGTACTGAAGCCCAGTTTCTGGACGTGGGGAGCGACACAACGATATCATGTAGTATTAGCGGGGACACCGCACCCTCCGTCTTCATGTACTGGTTAAAGGGTTCCTCTCCTATTGCTTCCTCTGGCAAGTACAGGTTAGTGTTTGCGTGTTGAGATAAGATAAGTAGATTTGGGAATTATTGTATTATTATTATTAGTTAACGGAGGCAATGAAATAAACATTTTTTGGAATCTTGAACTATTGTCGAAAAATAACGATACACGAACATATAAAGACAGAATTTCTACAGTTTTGTCCAGTTATAGTTAAATATAACTATAATTGGACAAAACTGTAGAAATATATATATCATAGTCATATATTAGTGCATATCTCCTTGAATCAGATCTGGTGATAAATATTATATTGTAAATTAAACATAGTTTTAGATGTAATAAAATATCGTAAGCAGAGATGTTGAACAAAGAGTAAACGATTCAACGGAAAGTGGACTTAAAAGCTAGTCCATTTGATTTCATGGAAGCAGAGTTAGTGAATATCTCCTTGAATCTGATCTTCAGGAAGAAGTTCCATGATGTGAGGTGTTGGAGGTCGGATGTACTCTCCGGTCTTAGATTCGTTTGACCTGAACCACCTTCGGATGGGGCTGGGATAGTTCCAGAACTTGTCCATGAACTCTGCCAGCTTTGCGTGTTTCTCAAGAGCGTTGGGGCAGAATACGTTGATGTCGTAGAGGCAAGCGTAGAGAAGGTAGTCAGCATGGACGGGTAGAGAGTTGCCCATGATGAAGGGTCCGGTGAGGATCTCTTCGATGGCCTTAGCTTTGGGTTCAAATTTGGCAAGGAATCTGGATCTGGCGTATTCAACATCGAAGTCGTTACACTCGGTGCTGTTGGGGGCAAAGCATATCTTGTTGATGAGGTAGACCATGGTGTTCATGATGGAGAAAAGGATCTTCTCGATCTCTTCACACTTGTTGAACTGTTCAGGTTCGTCGGGGATGAGGAACCATTCAGCTCCAATAGCTCGGACTACAGCGATGGTTTCAGTCATCTTGTTGTCGAGATCCATCCAGTTCTTGGAGGAATCGTCCTTGGCTTTGAGCCATTCTGGGCAGTGGTCCATGTAGTTGGCGAGTTTGGTATCACAAGCGATCTTCTGGTGTTCTTCTCCGATCTGCATACGGGAGGTGAGCATCATCTTGACAACTTTGGACTTGATGGGGACAAGAGGACCGGTGTTCACCTTTTCTGGGTTCGTGAGAGTCATGATTTGGACTAAAAGATTTGATTTGTTAGAAAATTTTGGATTAGAAATCGTATCTGAAAATCAATACTAAAAGAAATCATTTAAATTCATCGTCAATTTAATCATTATTGAATCATAACTTTAAATCCATTTCGAAGACAGTAACACAAAATGGTTTATCAAAGGTATGATCATAAATATTATTTAGTAAAATTTGAAAGGTGGACATGGTTAGAGATAATATCATATCGTAAACATAGATCTGTTGAATATTGAAAGCAAACGATTCGGCAGAAATTGGACGTCTCTTTAAAAGTTAGTCTCTTTGATTTCATGGAAGCAGAGTTAGTGAATATCTCCTTGAATCTGATCTTCAGGAAGGAGTTCCATGATGTGAGGTGTTGGAGGTCGGATGTACTCTCCGGTCTTAGATTCGTTTGACCTGAACCACCTTCGGATGGGGCTGGGATAGTTCCAGAACTTGTCCATGAACTCTGCCAGCTTTGCGTGTTTCTCAAGAGCGTTGGGGCAGAATACGTTGATGTCGTAGAGGCAAGCGTAGAGAAGGTAGTCAGCATGGACGGGTAGAGAGTTGCCCATGATGAAGGGTCCGGTGAGGATCTCTTCGATGGCCTTAGCTTTGGGTTCAAATTTGGCAAGGAATCTGGATCTGGCGTATTCAACATCGAAGTCGTTACACTCGGTGCTGTTGGGGGCAAAGCATATCTTGTTGATGAGGTAGACCATGGTGTTCATGATGGAGAAAAGGATCTTCTCGATCTCTTCACACTTGTTGAACTGTTCAGGTTCGTCGGGGATGAGGAACCATTCAGCTCCAATAGCTCGGACTACAGCGATGGTTTCAGTCATCTTGTTGTCGAGATCCATCCAGTTCTTGGAGGAATCGTCCTTGGCTTTGAGCCATTCTGGGCAGTGGTCCATGTAGTTGGCGAGTTTGGTATCACAAGCGATCTTCTGGTGTTCTTCTCCGATCTGCATACGGGAGGTGAGCATCATCTTGACAACTTTGGACTTGATGGGGACAAGAGGACCGGTGTTCACCTTTTCTGGGTTCGTGAGAGTCATGATTTGGACTTGGATAGCTAAAATATTCGATTTGTTAGAAAATGTTGGATTAGAAATCGTATTTGAAAATCAGCCGAAAATAAATAAATTTTAATCATTATCAATTTTAATGATTATTGAATCATAACTTATACTCCATGTCAAAAACAGTAACACAAAATGGTTTGTTAAAGGTATGGTCATAAATATTATACTGTAAATTTGAAAAGTAAACATAGTTCTAGATGTAATCTAATATCGTAATTATAGATGCTGAACGGGGCGGAAAATGGAGTTGAAAGAGTCTCTTTGATTTCATGGAAGCAGAGTTAGTGAATATCTCCTTGAATCTGATCTTCAGGAAGGAGTTCCATGATGTGAGGTGTTGGAGGTCGGATGTACTCTCCGGTCTTAGATTCGTTTGACCTAAACCACCTTCGGATGGGGCTGGGATAGTTCCAGAACTTGTCCATGAACTCTGCCAGCTTTGCGTGTTTCTCAAGAGCGTTGGGGCAGAATACGTTGATGTCGTAGAGGCAAGCGTAGAGAAGGTAGTCAGCATGGACGGGTAGAGAGTTGCCCATGATGAAGGGTCCGGTGAGGATCTCTTCGATGGCCTTAGCTTTGGGTTCAAATTTGGCAAGGAATCTGGATCTGGCGTATTCAACATCGAAGTCGTTACACTCGGTGCTGTTGGGGGCAAAGCATATCTTGTTGATGAGGTAGACCATGGTGTTCATGATGGAGAAAAGGATCTTCTCGATCTCTTCGCACTTCTTGAACTGTTCAGGTTCGTCGGGGATGAGGAACCATTCAGCTCCAATAGCTCGGACTACAGCGATGGTTTCAGTCATCTTGTTGTCGAGATCCATCCAGTTCTTGGAGGAATCGTCCTTGGCTTTGAGCCATTCTGGGCAGTGGTCCATGTAGTTGGCGAGTTTGGTATCACAAGCGATCTTCTGGTGTTCTTCTCCGATCTGCATACGGGAGGTGAGCATCATCTTGACAACTTTGGACTTGATGGGGACAAGAGCACCGGTGTTCACCTTTTCTGGGTTCGTGAGAGTCATGATTTGGACTTGGATAGCTAAAATATTCGATTTGTTAGAAAATGTTGGATTAGAAATCGTATTTGAAAATCAGCCGAAAATAAATAAATTTTAATCATTATCAATTTTAATGATTATTGAATCATAACTTATACTCCATGTCAAAAACAGTAACACAAAATGGTTTCTTAAAGGTATGGTCATGAATATTATACTGTAAGTTTGAAAAGTAAACATAGTTCTAGATGTAATCTAATATCGTAATTATAGATGCTGAACGGGGCGGAAAATGGAGTTGAAAGAGTCTCTTTGATTTCATGGAAGCAGAGTTAGTGAATATCTCCTTGAATCTGATCTTCAGGAAGGAGTTCCATGATGTGAGGTGTTGGAGGTCGGATGTACTCTCCGGTCTTAGATTCGTTTGACCTAAACCACCTTCGGATGGGGCTGGGATAGTTCCAGAACTTGTCCATGAACTCTGCCAGCTTTGCGTGTTTCTCAAGAGCGTTGGGGCAGAATACGTTGATGTCGTAGAGGCAAGCGTAGAGAAGGTAGTCAGCATGGACGGGTAGAGAGTTGCCCATGATGAAGGGTCCGGTGAGGATCTCTTCGATGGCCTTAGCTTTGGGTTCAAATTTGGCAAGGAATCTGGATCTGGCGTATTCAACATCGAAGTCGTTACACTCGGTGCTGTTGGGGGCAAAGCATATCTTGTTGATGAGGTAGACCATGGTGTTCATGATGGAGAAAAGGATCTTCTCGATCTCTTCGCACTTCTTGAATTGTTCAGGTTCGTCGGGGATGAGGAACCATTCAGCTCCAATAGCTCGGACTACAGCGATGGTTTCAGTCATCTTGTTGTCGAGATCCATCCAGTTCTTGGAGGAATCGTCCTTGGCTTTGAGCCATTCTGGGCAGTGGTCCATGTAGTTGGCGAGTTTGGTATCACAAGCGATCTTCTGGTGTTCTTCTCCGATCTGCATACGGGAGGTGAGCATCATCTTGACAACTTTGGACTTGATGGGGACAAGAGGACCGGTTTCCACCTTTTCTGGGTTCGTGAGAGTCATGATTTGGACTTGGATAGCTAAAATATTCGATTTGTTAGAAAATGTTGGATTAGAAATCGTATCTGAAAATCAATACTAAAAGAAATCATTTAAATTCATCGTCAATTTAATCATTATTGAATCATAACTTTAAATCCATTTCGAAGACAGTAACACAAAATGGTTTATCAAAGGTATGATCATAAATATTATTTAGTAAAATTTGAAAGGTGGACATGGTTAGAGATAATATCATATCGTAAACATAGATCTGTTGAATATTGAAAGCAAACGATTCGGCAGAAATTGGACGTCTCTTTAAAAGTTAGTCTCTTTGATTTCATGGAAGCAGAGTTAGTGAATATCTCCTTGAATCTGATCTTCAGGAAGGAGTTCCATGATGTGAGGTGTTGGAGGTCGGATGTACTCTCCGGTCTTAGATTCGTTTGACCTGAACCACCTTCGGATGGGGCTGGGATAGTTCCAGAACTTGTCCATGAACTCTGCCAGCTTTGCGTGTTTCTCAAGAGCGTTGGGGCAGAATACGTTGATGTCGTAGAGGCAAGCGTAGAGAAGGTAGTCAGCATGGACGGGTAGAGAGTTGCCCATGATGAAGGGTCCGGTGAGGATCTCTTCGATGGCCTTAGCTTTGGGTTCAAATTTGGCAAGGAATCTGGATCTGGCGTATTCAACATCGAAGTCGTTACACTCGGTGCTGTTGGGGGCAAAGCATATCTTGTTGATGAGGTAGACCATGGTGTTCATGATGGAGAAAAGGATCTTCTCGATCTCTTCGCACTTCTTGAACTGTTCAGGTTCGTCGGGGATGAGGAACCATTCAGCTCCAATAGCTCGGACTACAGCGATGGTTTCAGTCATCTTGTTGTCGAGATCCATCCAGTTCTTGGAGGAATCGTCCTTGGCTTTGAGCCATTCTGGGCAGTGGTCCATGTAGTTGGCGAGTTTGGTATCACAAGCGATCTTCTGGTGTTCTTCTCCGATCTGCATACGGGAGGTGAGCATCATCTTGACAACTTTGGACTTGATGGGGACAAGAGCACCGGTGTTCACCTTTTCTGGGTTCGTGAGAGTCATGATTGCGAATTTGATACCTACAAATTATTAATTAGAAACCAATCGAATTGTTAAAGTAGAGTCGAATTAATACCACCCGATTATTTTACACGAAAGTAGAATATATCAAAATGAAACTATACTGTACAAATAACTGTAGGCAACATGGAAGCCAGAAAGGTTAAATGAAAGTTGAGCACATTTGAAATGGTAACTCAATAGAATGATCCTCTTTAGTTGATCACTGGCTTTTATAGTAAAATTCTTGAGTAGTTCAATTAATTGTAATTGATCAAAGTATTTGATAACATTAGCAATATTTCACTATCGAGATACTTTTAATGAGATTGTTATTATTAACATCGAACTGTCAATTAATTTGCCTCTAGTCATTCTTAGGGATAGTTCTCAAATATCAGCTTATCACATAATTTGAATAATCCAATATAATATTGTCTCGAGTGGTCTTATGTAATATTTAATGATTAGGGGAGCAAAAAAGTTAATTTAATCAAAAATTTGTATTACTAATTAATCGAAAAGAAATTAACCTCATTGTAACTGTTATCCGAGTTTTTGATAATCAACGAAGCTAAAATTAATTTATCAGTCATTCGGAAATCCAGAAATATCTAGAAATGTCTAGAAACATCTAGAAACATCTAGAAACATCTAGAAATATCTAGAAACATCTAGAAACATCTAGAAACATCTAGAAATATCTAACCGAAGTACACGTACCCTTGACACTCCATCAAACATAACAATTTTCTTTCCCAGAATATCCGATGATAAGTCAAGTCTACGTATCAGCAACATTCAGGAGGAAGATGGGGGGATGTACACAGTTGTCATTCAAACCAGCTTAGGTAATAGCAACCCACAATTTGTAAATGTTTTACTTTTTCTGTTAACGTATGTTTACACGTGACCTCAGTGAATAATTTCATCTAAAAAAATGATAAAATTGTTAAGATCATTTCGTCAATTGAAAAACTAATAATCCGAATCACTAATCCAGGTACCAAACACGAGAGTTCAAGTATAACAGTTATAATGGACCCTGTTATCCTGGAGTCTCCCGCCTCCCTTACTGTAGCTACTGGGTCTGATGTGTCATTGACCTGTGTATACAGCGGCACTCCCAAACCTTACTTCTTCTGGAACAAGGATGATGAGGTGTGTATTTTAATTTTAATCGATTCTTAAAATTGTAATCGATTTTTTAGTGATTAGATTGATTTACTACTTAATCCACCTAGGTGACAACTTCGTTCAATTTTTATACATTACCAGAATCCCAAAATATTTCAAAAGTTTTGAAATATGTTGTGCAATTCTTGACTGTCCCTAAATCTGGTACCTTCCCCAGGCTGTGGAGGTAGAATCAGACGAGCGTATAACCACAGCTGAAGAGTACGTGGACAAAAACGTGAGAAGAGATATACTTTCTATAAAGCGTGTAAATAAGGTGGACGCTGGAGCGTACTATGGGTTTGCTCTGAACATGGGTAACGCTGATGCTACAGGGACTGGAGTACAGTCCGGACAAGCTGATCTCCGAGTTATAGGTAGGAACTCCAATACTTGGTTATATCATGAATTAGATATTATATAACTATAATATTTGGTTATTAACAAGAATATTAAATATTATCATGTTCAGATATTTATCAATTTTTGTTCAATTTTTCTGGTTTTTTTTTCTGGATTCTTCTTCCATGGTTGTCATTTCTCTTGAACTATAACCATTTTTATTTCGCATTCGACCCGAATGTAAAACCGATAAAACCTGAATTGTATGTTTGGTTTCTTGTTCTAGCCTAACTCCATCTCCCTCAGATCCTCCCATAATAAACGTGCCACCTAGAAACATCTCCCTGACCCAGGGTAAAAGCACCAGTATCAAGTGCGGTTACACCGGGGACCAGCCCCTAACTATAGAGTGGTTATATGAGGGCAGGGCACTTACTAACAGCGCTGATAACAGGTACACGGCTAGTTTTAATTATTAAAAGTTGTTTTGAAAAATTGTAATATTTCGTGTTTCAATGGGTGCTCAGTTTAGAGTACCACTGCAATAGTAATTTGTGTGATTAAAGTTTAGGAATAGGTTTGAAAACTTCAAAGAATCCGCGTAGGTTGGGTATTTAATTGGTTTAGTTGTAATCATACCGGAATATGATATATAATTCCCTTAAGAAGGCTTGAGTCTGAATTGATTCTATTATTAACCAATTTAGTTCCCATTAACAAATTATAGTTATGAGAATGTTCTGACGTGTTTGATAATATAACAAGGTCTCTTCTATAATTAATACTTTCAGAAAAACTATTATATTATATCGTAGACACATGTCACAAATCCCAAACATTCTTCCTAAACTCTTATTTCCCAGGATTGAACTGGACAGCGCTGCGGGCACGATTAAGTTCGCCACGATCAGGAGCTCAGATACAGGACAGTATGTGTGTAGAGTCCAGAACGAAGTTGGGGTCGTGACTGCCACAGCTAAACTTACTGTTCAGGGTATGGTTATATGTAGCCGCTAGTTAGAAAATTCACTGAGTACCTGCGAGATGATATGATATTGGAAATCAATAGGAAAGTTTTTTTATCGAATTTGATAAAGCTGCTTTTACGATTAACCTTTTTTTTAATTTGTTGTTTTTTATTTTTTTGTTTTTTTTAAATTTGTGTTTTTTAATTAATCCCTCCTAATCATCCGACAATGAATCAGTTAGTAACCTTGGAACCCCGCAGTGCCACCAGAGATAACACAAGGACCGGAGGCAGTTAACGTGTCACGTGGTAGCGCTGTGAGACTGACCTGTGTAGCGAGGATTGGTTACCCTGCCCCAACTATGAGTTGGAGGAAAAACGGGAACCTTATTGCCAGAGTTCCCATGCAAACGACCAGGTAGTGAACTTATTTCATCCTACACATTATCCTACGTCTTACCCTACATTTAATCCTACATTCCATCATACATTATATCCAAGAGTGTCTCCTACATCGTATCCTATCCAAGACAGGTGTCGGATTCAGGAAGCAGCCTGTTGATATCCGAGCAGGTCACCCCACCCTCACTATCATCTCCTCGCAACTGATACACATCTTATACCACATCATCATAAGTAAGGAACATGTAACTAACCACCACACTTAGAGTTTAACTAATTTATACCATTTATGATTCACAAATCTTTCGTAATTTTATTTTTACCTCCTCCTATTCTCATACGTTTCCTTAAATACCCTTATATCAATAGCACCTCAAATTAATTACTAGACCTCCGATGGCACATACTTTAAACGTTGTAATCATTTAACATTCGAGTGTAACATTCGAGTGTAACATTCAAGTGTAACATTCGAGTGTAACATTCGAGTGTAACATTCGAGTGTCACATTCGAGTGTCACATTCGAGTGTCACATAAACCACCTCCTCCCAGAGCACTTGAGCCAGTACACAATCGGTGAGTGATAGTGTGTGGGCCCTGGGTATGCTCTTTACTGCCCATCACATGATTTAAATTAACACGCATTCCAATGTGCACTCCCTGTACATTGATCTCTACAGATTTCAACCTATTTTTCTTCAAGCCTGAGAGGGTGTAGCAACGACCATTTTTTGTCTACTAAAATGTTGGTCAAACTGGAAATATATCAAAAATGGTACATATAAATTGGCCGAAAATGGTCGCTGCTACCCCACAACCCTGCCTTTTGTGCTGGGCTGTAGAGTTTGACGTTAAATAATTCATCTCAAAACGTATATATCTTGTCTTGGGGTGGTATGACCTTACTAAGATAATATAATCAACGAAAAGTTGTGTTGTTGATTAAATTCCTCCTTATATATTATAGTCCCTCTTAAAATGTACCACTACCTACCCGCAAATTACCTCTACCTTGTTTGAGATTTGTTTGGTTTTACGGCACGGTTATGGCATGGTGTTGTGGTGCATGCTGATCCACATTCCACTGTCTCATTCACGTGACAACCACTCATCTGCAAGCTCAATGGCTCATCACATGTCTTTTAAACAACCACGCATCCCCGCACCAATCAGCATCTCTTGGGAAAGTACCTCGTTAATGTGAACACACTCCTTATATGGGCATCACGTGACTCACATGATGCCCAAATAAGGAGAATAACGCTTCTCTGAACCACATATGTTGCAGTGATATACTGGAGATTGAGAATATCAACACAACTGATTTGTACACCTGCATAGCAAGTAACCAGGCCGGCCAGGATACTGCTGAGGCAAGAGTCGCTGTCAAAAGTAAGTTACAATTTCATGTCTCTCAATATTTGATATTTAATTTGAAATCTTTTAATCATCATGTCTATGTTACGTAATGTTTGAGTGCAAATCTTGATTATGTTATCGCATATTCTGTCAAAGTGCTTGTAAGGTTAGAACTATCTCGTACCGGCGTACTTCTTTGCTCAGAGGTTGTCATGATGTGAACAGATTACTGTAATGAGTGTAATCGGTAGAGTGAGTCATTCTCACTCATTCTGTCATGATCTAACTATTGGCCCATTACCAACGCCCTACCTCATGCGCGCTTTTATAAATTGCATGATAGTCAATATAGTGTGAACTCATTTTTCCAGTGCCCTCCGTTACCCTTGGAGGACTAAATAGATTGCACAAATGTGTTACATCATATAATACCAGATCAGGGTCACGGGATTTTGAACTAATTTATCCATGACTTCAAGTTACTTAATAGGGTTCCCTCTTCAGATCAATTAATTTCCCTTATTAGTTCGAGAACGGGGGAGGAAACGACTATTTCCCCCCGCGAACACCTGTCCAGCACTAAAACTTGCAATTACAGCTGTACCTGAGAAGCCAGGCCTGCCAATAGCTGTGGAGAAGGATAAGACAAGTATAAAACTGCAGTGGGAGCCGGGTCATGACGGATACACCCCTATTAGACAGTACACTGTTATGTACAGGTAATGTGAAGAAGAGGATGATATTATGCCTTTTGTACAGTTTTCACATTTTAAATTTCATTGATGAGTGCCAACAGATAGCGGACGTTTAAAGACACTTGTTTTTTTTTTCCAACCAAATTTAACACAAATTTAACACAAATTTAACACAAATTTAACACAAATTTAACACAAATTTAACACAAATTTAACACAAATTTAACACAAATTTAACACAAATTTAACACAAATTTAACACTAAATCCAACTTGTCCAGGCTAGAAGGAGAGGACTGGAAGACTTACCCCACCACTGCCATAACCAACGAGCTCCGTGTAACGAACCTCCAACCCTTCAAAAGTTACACCTTCAAGGTGTTCTCAGCTAACGAGATAGGGAGCAGTGCTGCTAGTATTGAGGCGAGGATATCCACTGAACAGGGCAGACCTTCTGCACCTCTCAACTTACAGGTGAACACCATGTTACTTAGTCTTGCTTACCCTGTAAACAGTCGTTTACTGCAACTGTGAAGCATTTTGCAGTTGCAACTACTCGTCTTCAATGAACATTGACCTATAATAATATCTTCTTGCTTCTCAAAAATCTTCTCAATAATCTTCTCAAAAATGAACTCTCCTACCCCAGGTCCGGGCACTGAGTTCAACAAGTGCCGAAGTATCGTGGGAGCAACCCCTAGACACCCAGGGCAGCTTGTTCGGTTACTACCTGGATTATCAGATCAGAAACTCTCCTTCCAGCGAGGTGAGATTACATTATTAGGACTATTATTAACTTTTGTAAACTGTTCACAGGCCACCATACTCTTAGACTCATGTCTCCAGGTTTAATTTAGGCTTCATTATAAAATCGTGTGTGACATTGTGTTATATATATTAAGTGATTTTCCCATAATTTCTCTGTTAGTGTTATTAACCAGTAATCTGATTTCTAGATGTAAGGAGCATGTTTTGTAACCGCCCTAGTCGACTGGTGTGGTCCCAACCAGGTGTCCTAAAACCACACCAATATGTTAAATTGTAACCACAATTTGTTGCATTCTGAGAAGAAACCGCGGAGATTTGTCGGGCTCCTCTGCTTAAGTTACCCTCCATGTATAGTATGTTACATGCTGGCCAACAAGTTGGATTTGTCATCATTAGCGTCAGTCAGTCTGTCTTCTCAGAAAGCTTAAAGTCCCGAGGCCTGGGTCTTTCACTTATTCTCCTGTATAAACTAAAATGACTAAAAAATGGCTGAGGTTAGATGTGGTTAGGAACGGAGACACCAGTGATAATTTAGGTTAGGAATAATACTGGGATTATGTCGGGCAAGGTTAACTTAACTCAACTTAACTCAACAGATGTTGGGAAAATCTTTTTCAAGGGTACAGTTTACCGCATTAAGGTATTTTTAAAAATCATTTTTGTCGGTAAGATCCTGTTTTATAATAATAATAAAGGTTAATTTAAATCTGTTCAATGTTCATTACCAATGTTTACCACTGGCGACCAGATCTTAACAGCTTAGTATGATTGAAGAGAAGTAACCACATTGTACTGAAACCTAACTCTAACATTAACATTACTATATCCTGACTCTTTTTTCCCCTTTTTTCTTATCCTGTCTCTTCTATCCTAACTCTTACTGTAGCCTCACTGCAACTCAAACCTCAGTGGGAGAAAGTGAGCACTGCATCCCGCACGTACACCTTGTCTGGTCTAGCCAAGTACACAGAGTACACTGTCAGGGTACAAGCTAGGAACACACAGGGGGCTGGTGATAGCTCTCAGATGGTCTTCTTCAAGACTCTAGAAGATAGTGAGTAACGAGTTCAGATAATCATATTTTATGAGATTAAACCACACAACTTTTCGATTTTGACACATTTTGATACAATAATATAAATATTCGACTACATTTTTCTACAATAATACGAATATTGGACACACTTTGAATATTTATTTATTTACCAATGAGTCATTAATTTAATCTATCAGTTTACCAACTACTCTCCCCCAGGCCCGGGTCCCCCTCTATCTCTCAGTGTAGGAGCGGTCAGCAGCAGCTCCCTCCGAGTTAACTGGGTACAACCCACCTTCCCTAACGGTATCATACAGCGCTACAAAGTTTACTACCAGTGTACTTCCGGAGACTGCCCTCTTAGTCACAGAACGGTAATAACTGACATAGTGCATCTTTTCTTATTAATTTATTAGTATAATTAAACCGTTGTTCTTCTTCTGCCTAAATGATTCACTTTAACACACTTTGATCCGGGATTCAATTCCACATTGATGAATCATGCTGATAAGCTGAGTATTGCTCCCCTCTAAAAGTCCCCTCTAAAACTCCCCTCTAAAAGTCCCCTCTAAAAGTCCCCTCTAAAACTCCCCTCTAAAAGTCCCCTCTAAAAGTCCCCTCTAAAACTCCCCTCCAAAACTCCCCTCTAAAGCTCCCCTCTAAAACTCCCCTCTAAAACTCCCCTCTAAAACTCCCCTCTAAAACTCCCCTCTAAAGCTCCCCTCTAAAACTCCCCTCTAAAACTCCCCTCTAAAACTCCCCTCTAAAACTCCCCTCTAAAAGTCCCCTCTAAAAGTCCCCTCCAAAACTCCCCTCTAAAACTCCCCTCTAAAACTCCCCTCTAAAACTCCCCTCTAAAAGTCCCCTCTAAAACTCCCTTCTAAAACTCCCCTCTAAAACTCCCCTCTAAAACTCCCCTCTAAAACTCCCCTCTAAAACTCCCCTCTAAAACTCCCCTCCAAAGCTCCCCTCTAAAACTCCCTTCTAAAACTCCCCTCTAAAGCTCCCCTCTAAAACTCCCCTCTAAAACTCCCCTCTAAAACTCCCCTCCAAAGCTCCCCTCTAAAACTCCCCTCTAAAACTCCCCTCTAAAACTCCCCTCTAAAACTCCCCTCTAAAACTCCCCTCTAAAACTCCCCTCTAAAACTCCCTTCTAAAACTCCCCTCTAAAACTCCCCTCCAGAACTCCCCTCCAGAACTCCCCTCTAAAACTCCCCTCTAAAACTCCCCTCTAAAACTCCCCTCTAAAACTCCCCTCCAAAGCTCCCCTCTAAAACTCCCTTCTAAAACTCCCCTCTAAAACTCCCCTCTAAAACTCCCCTCCAGAACTCCCCTCTAAAACTCCCCTCTAAAACTCCCCTCTAAAACTCCCCTCTAAAACTCCCCTCTAAAACTCCCCTCCAGAACTCCCCTCTAAAACTCCCCTCTAAAACTCCCCTCTAAAACTCCCTTCTAAAACTCCCCTCTAAAACTCCCCTCTAAAACTCCCCTCCAGAACTCCCCTCTAAAACTCCCCTCTAAAACTCCCCTCTAAAACTCCCCTCTAAAACTCCCCTCTAAAACTCCCCTCTAAAACTCCCCTCTAAAACTCCCCTCTAAAACTCCCCTCTAAAACTCCCCTCTAAAACTCCCCTCTAAAACTCCCCTCTAAAACTCCCCTCTAAAAGTCCCCTCTAAAACTCCCCTCCAAAACTCCCCTCTAAAGCTCCCCTCTAAAACTCCCCTCTAAAACTCCCCTCTAAAACTCCCCTCTAAAACTCCCCTCCAAAGCTCCCCTCTAAAACTCCCTTCTAAAACTCCCCTCTAAAACTCCCCTCTAAAACTCCCCTCCAGAACTCCCCTCTAAAACTCCCCTCTAAAACTCCCCTCTCTCAGGTTGAGACGCGGAGTGAGAACCCGACATACCTGCTGACAGATCTGTACAAGTACACAGAGTACAAACTGTACGTGACGGCTATCACCGGTGCTGGAGAGGGTCTCTCGTCTACTAACGCTGTCGGGACGTCGCTTGAAGACCGTGAGTTGGAATAAAGATATTTAATAGTTTGGTTTTTCAACTTAATTACAACAATAAAAACACTCATACTCACCAGATTCACCACTATTAATTGCATGAAATAATAGGGGGGGGGGGGGGGGGGGGGGGGGGCCAACCATATTAAAGTATATTAAAGTATTTCCCCGGGTCAAAATCGGAAAAAATCCTACATTTTAATATACTTTAATATACCTACAATTAGAAGATTTATATTCTTCGTTAAGATTTACATGATGAACTATATTTTTCACTCAGATTCGCAAGATAAGCCTGTTTTAGGACTAGTACATGAATTTCCATCCAGATTGGTCAAAAATTGGCTGAGATATGAGCTTTAAAAAGTATGCCCATATTTGGGCATACGCTTTTGCCCAAATTCGCTTTTGACCAAATTCGATAAAATTTCAATATTTTTTAATGAGACTAACTCTATGTGAAAGATATAACTCAGTGTTTGTTGAATATAGTGGATACTAAGTAAAAAGACCTCCATGAACAAAATTGGGAAAATTGCACATAATATCTCGGTTCGGAATACTAGCCAAAATGACTTCATTAAAATTGAAATAACTCCATCAGTTTTCAATATTTTTTTAAGACCTTTTTGGAATAGATTAAGAATTTCATTTCAAGCTTATTTTGGGCAACAATTTTTGAAGTAGGCCTCCAAGGAGATAGGGATATTAAAGTATATTGTAGGTATATTAAAGTATATTAAAGTATATCCCCGGGTCAAAATCGGGAAAAATCCTACATTTTAATATACTTTAATATGGTTGGCCCCCCCCCCCCCCCCCCCCCCATAATAAATCATTTAAAAATCACCACATTCCCTAATGACCCATCTCTGTGCCCTCAGGACCGGAAGCGCCCCCACAACTAGTGCACGGAACAGCAGTGAGCAGTACTAGCATCACCATCACGTGGGCACCACCTGACAGGAGGGCTCAGTGTGGTGTTATCACCAAGTACCGGATACTTTACAAGACTCTCTACGCCTCACCCGAGTCACCTATCGTGAGTCTTAACTTCAAAACAAGTTGAAACGTGTTTTAAAAAAATTACGTGTTAATTTTTAATATTTGGATTTACCCAAGTTTAAAATGTTGATCTAGTTGAACATAATGTAATGATGATATGTTAATTATGTAATTATGAAATTATCATAATTGATAATTATAATAGGTTTGTATTGAGCTTTATAACAAGGTTACTGACTATGAAAATGTTTTGTCGAATAGTAAAATGTGGAACTAACATTACTTGTATATTTATTATACTGATCAAGATGACTAAATAGTAAATATAATGAACAGTTTTCTCGTAAACATTACATTCATTCGCAAGATACGCCTCGAGTTCATAAGTTTTTGAGCCAACTACATTTACAGATCACACATCAGGGTGTTCCAGATATTGTGGTAATAATAATGAGATTCGCCAGGAGCCCATTTTACCGGCATGTCTCATGCCCTTTCTTCTAGCTCAAACATGGTCGCTAATTAGACCTCTTTTAGAGTACTCAGTACTCGCAAACATTGCATGTCATCCCATGTTATTCGTGGGGCGTGGTCCTGCAAAAATACGCAAGGGATTGAGTCTCTAAGTTTAACATAACTTAATCATGAACCGCAAAAAACTATAGAAAATATGTATTGACGTAAAACCAGAGTTACCTTGAAACCTCGCATGTTAGTCTACCTATCATTGCTTGTTGTTGCATGTTTACCTGCCAACAGGTAAAGTACCCACGTTGGCACGTTGGCATTATGCCACGTTGGCATTATGCCACGTTGACATTATGCCACGTTGGCATTATGCCACGTTGGAATTATGCCACGTTAGCATTATGCCACGTAGGCATTATGCCACGTTAGCATTATGCCACGTTGGCATTATGAGACTCACAAAATATTTTTCTTTTTTCTTCTTACTGTCTCCGTGGCGAAACTGGTGGCGATGATTTCCAGCATTTTTTGGGTACTGTCGTCTCGAATATGTTCTTATTTGAAATTTACTGTAATTTCAGAAAATTGATTGTAGTAGGGTGAGTCAGTGTGAATACAGAGTTGGCTGATTAAGCTGCTTGTATTTATCAACAAACCACAAATTCCTTATTATTACTCACGGAAGTGTAAATTTATATTAAACCGCCGGCCATTTCAGAGTGGCTCGCTGACAAGTGATTCGGTCGACAATCATCATATTTTATAGTTCTAAAATGAAAACAATTTCAAATTCACTCCACAGTAAGCTAACTAATTAGCCAGTAACAAGTTAATTACTGGCTAATTAGTTAATTAATCACCTCTCCTTGATCAGGAGGTCTCTACAATATCGGAGTACACTCTAACTAACCTCACCAAGTACACCATTTACTCGATACAGATAGAGGCAGGAACTATCAAGGTGAGTGAACTACTGGTAAACTACTGGTAAACTACTGGTAAACTACCGGTAAACTACTGGTAAAATACTGGTAAACTACTGGTAAACTACTGGTAAACTACTGGTAAAGTACTGGTAAACTACTGGTAAACTACCGGTAAACTACTGGTAAACTACTGGTAAACTACCGGTAAACTACTGGTAAACTACGGTAAACTACGGTAAACTACTGGTAAACTACTGGTAAACTACCGGTAAACTACTGGTTAGTGGTTACTAATGGTTACGGGGGGGGGGGGGGGGGGGGGGGGGGGGGGGGGGGGGGGGGGGGGGGGGGGGGTCATGACCAATGGTGAAATTTTACAATTTGGATACTCAATTCACCATGAATATCATTCATCATTTTCCCCCATTTTTCATCATTAAATTTCACTATTAAATGTCTGTCTAGATAAAAAGAAAGTTAGAGTCAGCCCTTGTAACAAATATTGTTAATGCAGTCATTATTTTTCTTACGTGTTGCAATCCGGGAGGGGCTTTTGTGTTATACTATGATAAAATTCTGTTTAAATTGACATGGCTGGAATGTTGGTATAATTTCCACTTGAGTAGCCGAATCTTTTACTTCCTGGGCTCCGATTTCTGAGTTCTGACACTGCAATTATTAATAGCTTCATACCTACTCACGGCACATATTTTCAATGATTTTATCATGACTAAAGTTACAAAATATTCTGAAGATATTGGGAAATGAAGTTACACTTACATCTGATAAAGAAAGCATTATACAATATAATTTTCAACCTTTTGTTACCGTGTGGGAGCGATTTATGCTGCTAAAAAACACTCAACCCATTTAATTACAATATTGTCACACTGGAATCACGTATCAAGTCAATAAAGTCAATCTAACGGGAATTGGGGTTACTAATGCAATGTTTAATTATGGTTACAAAAGGTTACTAATGGTTACTACTGGTCGTTAAACCTAAACTCAGTTTTGCTCTAAAGTTGCTAATGTTATGTACAACAAAGATGGTTCTTGTAAGTGCAAGTAAACTCATACATCTCCTAAACTTGTTTTTAGCAACAAAAAACAGTACAGACTGTTTTCTAACATCTTATCCATCAGGGTTACGGTCCTCCCAGTGAACCAGTCCAAGTTAGGACCGGCGAGGATATACCTGAGGGTAGGCCTGTAGACCTTGAGGTTTGTGTTTTAACTGCAATTCATGACTATCATAATGTGTAGCAAAATTTGTTCCGTTTTATGCTCGTGTGTGTAGACTGTAGATAGGTAGGGGTGACATGGATTAATCGGTTTGTTAACATTCAAAGTATCTTTAATCTTGTACAGTTTTTAAAACTTCTTTATTTACCAAATCAAATTTCATCGACTTACTTTACTCTCCCTGTGCAGACGAACGCTTTCAGTTCAACAGAGATAAACGTAGCTTGGCGAGCCCCACCCAGTTCCTCCGTACACGGCAGGATAACCGGATACAGAGTAGAGTATGGTCTTACCGGCAAGAGAAAGAAAGCCGTTACAACCGGGCCAGAAACTTTGGTTAGTTAGAATTTAGGGTATATTAGGACGCAATGAAACCGGGCCAGAAACTTTGGTTAGTTAGAATTTAGGGTGTATTAGGACGCAATGAAACTACCGGACCACGATGTATGGGGACTTGCCACCCCATGGCAACATTGAAATATATCGACTCTGTTACATCGTTTTCTCAAATTATTTGTTATATAGTAGTGTTGAAAGTATTAAAACTTTTTACAACTGTCTTATAACTATCTCATATTAACGAGCCAGTTACTGTTCAAGATAAAACTAAAATTGGTAATCTTGTTTTGCTCTTATGAGTGGGTCAATCATTTATTTTTAATTGTAGTTGACGAAATGAGAGTCTCCACTCAGTGTGTTAAAACATAATTCTTTGTCGACGTTTCGGCTACATGCCTTTGTCATAAACAGGACGTACTGAAAACTTACATAGCTCAATAAATGTAATAGATTTGTAGTGTTGTAATTAGTTTAAAAACTCATTTCGTCAACTACAATTAAAAATAAATAAAACTAAAATACTGGTATTTGAAATAGACTCAGCCTTAGGTAGTTCTTAGAAATGTTTCTTACAACTAAGCTTGTATAACAATTTCCCGGGTTACATGTTGATTATTGACAAACCAATAGTTTGAACCCAATGATCGCAGCACAAGAGATTAGAAGACTTGGATAAGGGTAAGAACTACCACATCTGTGTAAAAGTAGGTAACTCTAAAGGGTGGGGTCCTTGTTCTGATCAGGAGAGGTACACTTCACCTGACCTACCTAGTGCTCCATTTATCTTCGACTTGGAACCTGGCCAGGTATTGTGACTTTTGTTTTTTATTCTGTATTGTTTTATTATGTTATTGTTCATCTTTAGAAAATTACTACTTTTAAAGCGAAAGCATTTGACCTTTTTTATATACAAATCTTGGGAACTTAGAATTTGAAAACTACTGAGTATGTATAGATATTCAATCATAATGCCACTGCACCTTGCTTCATTCTGTGACATAATAATAACTTTGCAGAGGAACATTGAAGTGCAAAACCATATTATTATTGAAATGCAATACCTTATATTTTGACATTATAATAACTTTGCAGAGGAACATTGAAGTGCAAAACCATATTATTATTGAAATGCAATACCTTATGTTTTGACATTATGATAACTTTGCAGAGGAACATTGAAGTGCAAAACCATATTATTATTGAAATGTAATATCTTATGTTTTGACATTATAATAACTTTGCAGAGGAACATTGAAGTGCAAAACCATATCATTATTGAAATGCAATACCTTATGTTTTGACATTATAATAACTTTGCAGAGGAACATTGAAGTGCAAAACCATATTAGTATTGAAATGTAATACCTTATGTTTTGACATTATAATAACTTTGCAGAGGAACATTGAAGTGCAAAACCATATCATTATTGAAATGCAATACCTTATGTTTTGACATTATGATAACTTTGCAGAGATATATAGAAGTGCAAAACCATATCATTATTGAAATGCAATACCTTATGTTTTGACATTATAATAACTTTGCAGAGGAACATTGAAGTGCAAAACCATATTAGTATTGAAATGTAATACCTTATGTTTTGACATTATAATAACTTTGCAGAGGAACATTGAAGTGCAAAACCATATTAGTATTGAAATGTAATACCTTATGTTTTGACATTATAATAACTTTGCAGAGGAACATTGAAGTGCAAAACCATATTAGTATTGAAATGTAATACCTTATGTTTTGACATTATAATAACTTTGCAGAGGAACATTGAAGTGCAAAACCATATTAGTATTGAAATGTAATACCTTATGTTTTGACATTGTAATAACTTTGCAGAGGAACATTGAAGTGCAAAACCTTATTAGTATTGAAATGTAATACCTTATGTTTTGACATTATAATAACTTTGCAGAGGAATATCGAAGTGAGATGGCGCGAGCCTGAGCGACCTAACGGGGAAATAATAGGATACAAGATAGTCCACACTCCCCCTGGTGCTAACTTTACTGTCGGAGCTGACACTTTGTCCTATAACATACGGGGACTTGGTGAGTTTTATTTCAAAATTCAATTTTACAAATAAAAATTTCATATTTTTTTCACTGTATTAATTGGCCATGGAACTAGAGGGTAATCTGTGTTTACTCTGTCATTTTTCCGTTAAGTTCACTGATTTATCTCATCATCTGAAAATCTGAAAAGTGATCCATCCTACAAAACTTAAACTAATAAACGTTAATACCCCCAGAGCCCTGGACCCAATACCACGTGAAAGTGTCCGCCCAAACCTCTGCCGGATTTGGGAACTACTCCGAACTTCAGAACCCAGTCCGAACTTTGGAGGGTAAACCGGAGAGTTCTATCACAGACTTATCAGGGAGACCTCTGAACACTACCACTATCGAGCTTACTTGGAGGAATCCTCTCAGACCAAACGGGCAAATTACAAGTTAGTGAGACGTGTAAAAATAATAATGTATATATATATTATTTTATAGAACAAATGAAACAAAGTTCAAATGGCTTCAAGTTTCATACTACTAGCAGGAACCCGTGAAATATAACCCTAAACGGTGTTAAGACTCAAGATACTGAAATAATTATTACCTATTTAATTGGCGTTTTTGACACCACTTGGGGGTCCAAATTTTCGGCTCTAAAACCATTATTCCTCGGCCAATTTTTTATTTTTTCATGCTGATTTGGAGGATATTAAAGCATTTGACCCAGCCAAAAAAGTTTCAGTTGTATATCTTTTACGGTTTTTGCAGAAAGTTGCGTTAAAGTCGATGCCGTGGTGTCAGTAAAATGGCACAGATATATATATATATATATCGTCTCGCTTTATATATAGTAAGATAGCAATTAAACTAAAGCAATCGTCAGGAACTTAGATTAGATTAGCACCATATTATATATTATTTTATATGTGTTCTGTGTTGTTCTTGATTAGAAGTCCTTTAGATCCTAATCATAACTAAATATGAAAAAGTTCCAGACTCATGATCATAGGAATTGTTTCTGTAAAACAATTTTGCCAGATTAGTAACAATCTATTCTATAAAGTTTCCCACTCTCAGAGTACGCGTTCTCCTTCATCCCACACGACGGCGGTGAGATATACGATACACACATGGTTAACGCTGACGGTGCTCGAGTCAGTAAGGACCTCTTTAAGACCCAGTATCCGGGCCTGAAGGAGAACACACTGTACCAGGTTAAGGGTATGGCTTTTAACAGAGTCGGGGAGAGTGGCTGGTGTGAAGCCGTTTCTGTGAGAACTACTATTGGAGGTGAGTTTCTCTTTCAGTTTCACTTTCACTTTCACTTTCACTTTAACAGTTTCACTTTCGCAGTTTTACTTGAATTTTACAGACCGCGGTAAAGAGTTTCTGGAGCTTATATTTTTTGTTCTATGACAAGGTCCCAATGTCTTAAACTAGTGTATTCGCCTGCAATAATGTGATATGCAGCGGGTAATTTTACCCTTGTAATTTCTGGATTTTAAAGCACTTTCACACGTGTATTTAATATAGCATATTACGATATAACTCTGCAATTAGAATTAGCATTAGAATTTTAAACAAGTTGACACACAATACTTGACAGACCGACGGACCGACTTAGAATATCTGATCATATAATGTATTTACTTACCGTAAGTTTAACTGACACCTACTGACAGACCGACTGACACATATCTTTCCCCTTACCAACCAGCCTTCTCATCAGCACCATACGACGTGGTCGTCATGGCAACCAGCGAGTCAACTCTCTACATTTCTTGGGAAAGTCCTCAAGGTTTGTCATTTATATGTTCAATATGTCTGATACAAATTACTTAGAAATTCTGGTTTCTGTATGACTATGTGGCCCAGATAGTAAGGGGAAAAGTGGTCGATTTAAGGGTTCCGTTGGATTTGAATGTTCACAAGGATTTCTCAACGGAATATGGTAGTTAGGACCCCTACGAACATAATTAGACTTGTTGCCAATTTTGTATCTCAACAGAAACACCACTTTTACCACTTTTTACCACCTTTGTACCACTTTTCTGGTTTGCCAAATATCTTTAGTTGTGAACGTCGTAGAAGGCTGAAAATTAACCTAGAATGTTTATCTTATCAAGGAGTAAAACTTTTGTATCAAAAATTTTTACATTGGACAATCAGTTAATTGGATAATTACCAATTAGTTAATCACCAAAAAAAGTGAAAATTTTTTATTGGCTCAAAATGATTGAAATCGTTTGAAACACGGAGAAATGTAGTTTTTAGAAAAACTTCAAAAATTTTTCACTTAAAATTTTTTTTCGAGACTTCAAAAAAAAAGTTTGAAAATTTGAAAATATTTTTTTCCGCCAAAAGTGATCGAATTGCATGAAACGTGGATAAAAATGCCTTGCAGAAAAATTTCGAAGATTTTTAGATTGAGGAATACTAAAATCATCAATATTTGAAGTTGGAGTTCAGTAAATCTCGACATATTTTAGTAATTAGGAATAGCTTAGCGGAAAGGGCTAGTAAGAGATATTTACCCTCTGTAGCACACATTTTGCTATTGCACACATTTTCCGACACTTGTAAAAATTTTCGAGCATTTTCGACACTTGTAAAAATTTCACGGATTTCCGACACTTGTAAAAATTTCGAGGATTTTCGACACTTGTAAAAATTTCACGGATTTTCGATACTTGTAAAAATTTCGAGCATTTTCGACACTTGTAAAAATTTCGAGGATTTTCCGACACTTGTAAAAATTTCGAGGATTTTCGACACTTGTAAAAATTTCACGGATTTTCGACACTTGTAAAAATTTCACGGATTTTCGATACTTGTAAAAATTTCGAGCATTTTCGACACTTGTAAAAATTTCGAGGATTTTCCGACACTTGTAAAAATTTCGAGGATTTTCGACACTTGTAAAAATTTCACGGGTTTTCGATACTTGTAAAAATTTGTTATTAAAAGGATCAACATCATTATATATCTCATTTCTCTTTTTGTTAGTTTTACAATGTCAGATATTCTTATTGAAGATGAATATCACAGAGGTTTTGTTATTGGGATCATGAGATTACTTGCTGTACATAGTTATTCGGTTACCAGAGCTTTCAGATTAGAGAGTCATGTGACTATTGTTGGTGATCAGGGTCAACTGCATTATCAAGTACATTAATTGTTAGTATTGTAGGTAAATTCCATTACTTGCTAGTATTCAAGATAGAGACAAGCATTAAGTCAAGCTACGAGAGCCGTCCAGTGGACTATTGAGTCCTTAATGTACTTGACAATGCAGCGGCTTGCCTGCATCGCTCAAGGGACAAACAACATGCAATGACGTTTGTTTTCATGGTAACGGTCTGACTATATCAAGCCGGAGAACGCTGCGGGAAATCAGATTGAATCAGTTCGTTTCGCAGAAGTTTGTAATCAATCAGTTCTTGATTGATAAATCTACTCAACTCGTTCCTCCACAGGTTCTATTTTATCTTAAAAAGATGCACAGTTCGTTCTTTAGTCTTGTGATACATAGTTCGCTCTTCAGTTTGCTAATTTGATTCTAATTCAAGTTGCATGCTAACTTATCATAAATAGCAGGGGCTCGTATTATACAATAATATTTAAACGTAAATTCTAGCTTAACAGAACAACAACAGATCGTTATTCTAGATGTTCTTATTTTTCTCTATTTAAAATTAACAAATTTCAGTTGTGCTACAGTGACACGGACAGTTTTCTATACCACATACAAGAAGGCGATTTGACTGAAAAATTTTCGAGAATATACTCAACTTTCATGGACTTCTCAAACTACCCTGTGAATCATTGTCTCTATTCCATTCAGAATAAACTCACCCCGGGCAGGTATTATCAGTCACTAAATCAAATTAAAAATCAATGTATGATAAATTAGGGATGAAGGCAATCGAATTTAACACTTTCACATTTTCAGATTCAAGGACGAAATGGCAGGTGTCGAAATCCATCAGTTTGCCGGGTGTAGAGCCAAATGCTACTCTATGTTACAGATGAAGAACAGAAAATGGGAGCCGCGGGAGTGAAGAGAAATATGTAAAAGAGACTGAAGCATGTCGATTTTGTAACATGAGTCCATGTACTTGAAATAAAAATAATACATTTATAAAGTATATTTAATAAAGATATAAAAATAAAGAATCTGAAAGATATTCGAAAGCTCTGCTAAATCACTGGTAGTCTGACTATCACGCTGTGCAGTATGAGTCGAATTATATTTTAATAAAGATATAAAATAAAGAATCTGAAAGATATTCGAAAGCTCTGCTAAATCACTGGTAGTCTGACTATCACGCTGTGCAGTATGAGTCGAATTATATTTTAATAAAGATATAAAAATAAAGAATCTGAAAGATATTCGAAAGCTCTGCTAAATCACTGGTAGTCTGACTATCACGCTGTGCAGTATGAGTCGAATTATATTTTAATAAAGATATAAAAATAAAGAATCTGAAAGATATTCGAAAGCTCTGCTAAATCACTGGTAGCTTGACTATCACGCTGTGCGGTATGAGTCGAATTATATTTAATACAGATATAAAAATAAGAATCTGAAAGTTATGAGAAAGCTCTGCTAAATCACTGGTAGCTTGACTATCACGCTGTGCGGTATGAGTCGAATTATATTTAATACAGAATAAAAAATAAGAATTTGAAAGTTATGAGAAAGCTCTGCTAAATCACTGGTAGCTTGCCTATCACGCTGTGCGGTATGAGTCGAATTATATTTTAATAAAGATATAAAAATAAAGAATCTGAAAGATATTCGAAAGCTCTGCTAAATCACTGGTAGTCTGACTATCACGCTGTGCGGTATGAGTCGAATTATATTTTAATAAAGATATAAAAATAAAGAATCTGAAAGTTATGAGAAAGCTCTGCTAAATCACTAGTAGCTTGACTATCACGCTGTGCGGTATGAGTCGAATTATATTTAATACAGATATAAAAATAAGAATTTGAAAGTTATGAGAAAGCTCTGCTAAATCACTGGTAGCTTGACTATCACGCTGTGCGGTAATGAGTCGAATTATATTTAATACAGATATAAAATAAGAATTTGAAAGTTATGAGAAAGCTCTGCTAAATCACTGGTAGCTTGCCTATCACGCTGTGCGTTATGAGTCGAATTATCTTTTAATAAGATATAAAATAAAGAATCTGAAGATATTCGAAAGCTCTGCTAAATCACTGGTAGTCTGACTATCACGCTGTGCGGTATGAGTCGAATTATATTTTAATAAAGATATAAAACATAAAAGAATCTGAAGTTATGAGAAAGCTCTGCTAAATCACTGGTAGCTTGACTATCACGCTGTGCGGTATGAGTCGAATACTATTTAATATAGAATAAAAATAAGAATTTGAAAGTTATGAGAAAGCTCTGCTAAATCACTGGTAGTCTGACTATCACGCTGTGCAGTATGAGTCGAATTATATTTTAATAAAGATATAAAAATAAGAATCTGAAAGATATTCGAAGCTCTGCTAAATCACTGGTAGTCTGACTATCACACTGTGCAGTATGAGTCGAATTATATTTTAATAAAGATATAAAAATAAGAATCTGAAAGATATTCGAAAGCTCTGCTAAATCACTGGTAGCTTGCCTATCACGCTGTGCGGTATGCGTCGAATTATATTTTAATACAGATATAAAAATAAGAATCTGAAAGTTATGAGAAAGCTCTGCTAAATCACTGATAGTTTGACTATCACACTGTGCAATATGAGTCGAATTATATTTTAATAAAGATATAAAAATAAAGAATCTGAAAGTTATGAGAAAGCTCTGCTAAATCACTGGTAGCTTGCCTATCACGCTGTGCAGTATGAGTCGAATTATATTTAATAAAGATATAAAAATAAGAATCTGAAAGTTATGAGAAAGCTCTGCCTAAATCACTGATAGTTTGACTATCACACTGTGCAATATGAGTCGAATTATATTTTAATAAAGATATAAAAATAAAGAATCTGAAAGATATTCGAAAGCTCTGCTAAATCACTGGTAGTCTGACTATCACGCTGTGCAGTATGAGTCGAATTATATTTTAATAAAAGATATAAAAATAAAGAATCTGAAAGATATTCGAAAGCTCTGCTAAATCACTGGTAGTCTGACTATCACGCTGTGCCAGTATGAGTCGAATTATATTTTAATAAAGATATAAAAATAAAGAATCTGAAAGATATTCGAAAGCTCTGCTAAAACACCTGGTAGCCTGACTATCACGCTGTGCAGTATGAGTTGAATTATATTTTAATAAAGATATGAAAAATAAGAATCTGAAAGATATTCGAAAGCTCTGCTAAATCACTGGTAGCCTGACTATCACACTGTGCAGCATGAGTCAAATTATATTTAATACAGAATGATACGAAGCTATGAAGAGCAAACAGTCAATCATCATCTTATTGCAATTTACAAGCAGACGGTCCCATCCGCTCTATCGTGTTTGTGTTTCCAATGCCCCCAATGGATGTGGACCGGATTTGTAGTTTAAGGCTACAAATCTGACTATCTCATGATACGGCTGGGCATTGTTTGTGTGAGATAATGGTAAGATCGCTTGTAAGCAAAGGGTTCAGCAAGGCGGGGATTCCCGCTAAATATAACCAAAATAAGAGAGTATTCTCTCTAATCCAAAAATTGAAAAAATGACTGTTTTGCAATTCATACTGCTTCAATGTTATTATCATCACTGATAATTATAATAATGAAACCCACTAGTACTGAAAGATAAAGGATTAAATTAGGTG